CAGAGTAGAGGGGCAGAATCCCCTCCCTCGACCTGCTGGCCACGCTTCTTTTGATGCAGCCCAGGACAGGATTGGCCTTCTGGGCTGCGAGCGCACATTGCTGGCTCATGTCCAGCTTTTCATCCACCAGTACCCCCAAGTCCTTCTCGGCAGGGCTGCTCTCAATCCCTTCATCCCCCAGCCTGTAATGATACCAGTTCATTTTCATTCCTTCTCATTTTTATTTTCTTTTTATTCCAGAGTATGTAAACCAGTTGGTGCCCAAGAAAGCATCTGCCTCAGTGGTCCAGAATCCAATCTACAACAACTTCTCACTCACAGCAAATTCAAAGGTCCCCACGGACTGCAGCTACCAGAATTCACACAGCACAGCTGTGGACAACCCCGAGTATCTCAACACCAACCAGTCTCCGCTGGCCAAGACAGTCTTTGAGAGCTCTCCTTACTGGATCCAGGCGGGCAACCACCAAATAAATCTGGACAATCCTGACTACCAGCAGGACTTCTTGCCGAAGGAAACCAAACCTAACGGTCTCTTGAAAGTTCCCGCGGCAGAGAACCCGGAGTATTTGAGGGTAGCAGCACCAAAAAGTGAATACATTGAAGCCTCGGCATGACCATAGAGAATTACTTCTTGCAGCGAGGCAAGCCAGACTCTCGGTGAGCCACCTGGCTGCTGCAAGAATGGACTCTTGCTCATAGCGAACGGCGACCGCAGTGCATCAATAAGCACACCTTTCCTTTTCAGCATGGGGGCTGAAACTGCGAAGCCTATCTGATGGTAGTTTGGGTCTTTTCTTGCCCATTTCCATGTAATAACTGAGGCCCATAGCCTGCACTCAGATGCATGTTGGGATGGAGCAGGATATTCCTGGACAGAAGAGATACAGATGCATTCCTTTCATTTTCAAATGGTAGCATGGTAAGAAGCCACTCTGGGATGAACTTGAGAGCTGTACACATTGTACAGTCAAATTCCTTTCTACAGTCTGTATTTTTGTAAATGTTTCTAACAGAATTTTTGGATCTTTTACAAGATCAGATGCTTGTACTGCTGGTCTGCTATGTGGTGCTCAGATCACCAGCAGGAAAAAAAAAGTGTTACTAAATAGTTTTCCAAAACTCCTGGAACAGAAACAGTTGTTCCAAACCACCGGATTTTTACAAATTGGCTCCATATACTGCTTCTTGGCACGAGGAGGAGAAGTGCATCTGGGGGACGTATGGGAGATTCTGCCCAGGGCAGTATGGAGTGGATCACTCTGGGGAAAACTAGCACAAGGAGCAAAATGGCATGACGCATCACCTACTGACCACTACTGCTAAAACTGACAGGAGGAACTCACCTCAAAGTAATCTGTACATGGTTATAAAGTGCTCGCTAGTCTGCTTTCTGATGGTCAAATGCAAGACATTTTTTTTCTGATCCCTTATGCAGCTGTCGAGTTGTCAAAATGCCTTTCTTCTTCAACAAAACTGTTAAAGATGTTGCCATAACTGAAAAATGAAGTGTCAAATAATGTTTAACAGAGTTTAATTAAATGTCAAGGAAATGCAAATGATGGCAAATTGGAGCATTCATGAGACAGACTGGAAGAACTATACTAAATTAAACTTGACTAGGGCAAGAAACACAAGCAGCTCTAGCCAAGCAGTTTTATTTCCCTTCTTAAAGGGGCTCAGAGCAGAAATAATTTTCCCTTACACATTTGGCAAAGAAAAGGGGTATATCAGTGTTACGCTTTACTCACTTCAAGGCAGAATACTGCCAATTGCTGTACCACGCTGGGGCAGAGGCTGGGGCTCGTTGCCTGTCCCTTTGGGGTTACATATCCTGGCAATGCAGGAGGGGCAGCGAGAATGAATTAAGGAAAGGAAGAATAAACTGGAGTGATGGAAAATATTATCTCCCTCTTCTGAAACACGGGGCTGCCTAGTGCTTCTTTAAAATACCCAGCATCATCTTCTGTTATCATTGTGGAATAGGCAGACTAGGCAAGGCTAAGATTTTAGCTTCATAGTACAAATCAATCACAGCAGCAAAAGCAGCTACTCTTTCCAGGGGCCTGTGGTACAGAACTTCAGATTCTTCCACCATTAACATTTCTTACAAACATAGGAGGAGTAAAATGCCTAAAGTGTGAATTTAGTCGGTAATTTAGACGCATCCCACCAGCAGCTTGGCAGTGCTATTTTAATCAAACCACAAGATCAGAAAGCAAATGCACATTTGGTGATTTTGATACAAAGGCTCTTAACTAGTTGAACATTGGCAACTTGCTTGAGGGTAGCATAAGTAGCTGAGTTGCAGAGGATATGTAGTCTATATTAAGTAGCAAGAAATAGTCAAATTTATGCCACCACTGTGTTTTGAATATATCGGTATGTGTTTCAGTTTAAGTATTGCGTCTGGAGTCCAAGATCAAGCAGCAAATGCTCAGAACATTATTTTTACAGATTTATTGAGGAACGAGGGAGAAGAATGGTCATGTGAAATGACTCCTTTTATAAGAAACACGGTGTAAAATGCATTAGCAGCTTGTGTGTGTGTGGTAGTTCATCGGCCATGCTGCAGTTTAGGGTAGAGCAGTGTATTGGGTCAAAATTCAAAGATTGTCCTGTTTGGTACATCTGTGTCACCACGACCAAGTCCCAGGCACAGCGGTATGGAGGATGCAATGTTTGACTTTGATTATTACTGGCTTGTATTTAAAACGCTAACCAAAATTCAGTTCCCACGTCCAATTAGTGGCAGATTTCTCCTTGCATTCCTGAGAGCAGATTTGTTGTGTTGCTCTCACAAGCGCGTAACATGTACGCACAGGCAGTGCTGCTTTTCTCCACCCACCGCCCCGGGAGGAATGTACATAAAACCAAAAAAAGATCTTAACAGAAATCACAGTTAATTTTCAATTTGCTAAATCTGTTCTGTCTCCAAGCAGAACACTAGAAAATCACATAGCGCACGTTCCCCTGCAGAATCTTTCTGACACTATTGCACAAAAGAATTTATTGATGTTTTGTTTTAATCTGTTAGCTAAAACAAGAAAGTGACTACGAAGTAGCAATATGTATCACCAGCATTATGTAGCATGAACATTATTTAATAGAGGTTAATATGCTTGCCCATAACAATTTAGGAAGGATTCAGTAGCGACTCATTGCTAGAAACAGGGAGATTCATCTAAAAATTCAGCAATGTAAGTTTGAAAGAGCATCGCTTTTTGAATGTATTGTTTTTGATGAGAAAAGTAGAAAAGAGGATGTAGGACCACAAACTCTCGATACAAATGTACAGATTCCAGATTGGTGGGATCAGCTGTATTGTAAAGTAGTTCTGGTAAATAGGCATCCTGTAAGCCATGATTTGTACATCGGCAGCTCAGTAGTGATTCAAAAGCCAGCAAAAAATAAAAACTGGGCAGTGTGCTGTAGTCTGTGGGCAGTGCCCGCAGGAGCAGATAGAGCGGCAGTGGGAGTGGATGGGACCGTGCAGCTGCGTGGCTGTCGCTGGAGGCACAGGTGCTACGCGGGGTGATGCTCATACGGTAACAGACATTAGCAACGTACCAAATGATTTCCACTGAGATGGAAAAAAAAAAGCAGCTGAAATGGTCTGGTTTTCCCGCTGCAGCTCACTGACCATGTAACAGCAAGGAGCCCCGTGCAGATCGTAGGTGCTCATAAAGGCGAACACGGTTAGGCAGCATTTCATGGGACCTTGCTGATGCAGTGTTGCATGGAGTTTAGGCTACTGAATGGGACATAAAAGTTGTGTTTTTACAAATATTAGAAAAAAAAAATACACTGCATCTTGAAAGCTTACATAAATCAGCATCCAAAAATAACTTGGAAGTTCTGTCTCTCAGGAGGTGTGGGTAGAAAATGCTGATTTTTAAAATGCAACTGAATAGGGAAATGTAGCAGGCCACAGCCGCTTTTAAAAGCTAACAGAGTCTTACCCGTCGAGAAAATAAAAATTTCCCTTTTTACTGTATTTCTCATGGAAGGCAAAATAAAACCACTCACAAGTTAGTTCTTAGCGTCTCTTAATCATAAAGCAGCAGTTAATATGGAATTGCTTTTGCCATAATAATTTAAGACTTTTAATAACTGCTAAGTATATGAAAATGTAAGTTAAGCCAAGAGTCTTCATCTTACTTTGATGTTTTCCAGTGATCTGTGTACAGTGTCAGTGCACTTGACTTCATTTGGGCCTTGGGTTATTTTCTTCTGCTGCAAAGGGAGTTGGCTTGGGAAATTTCCTTCATGTTGCAATTGGTCTTGTCGGGTAAATTCATCTGAGAGGCTGGGGGCTTGCTTTTGTTTCCAGCTGGCAGGCAACAATGCAGTGAGTTTTCTAGAGAGAGCAGCTGGAAATAGCGGTTTCTGGAACACCTCAGGGTGATGCCTTGTCCCACCAGCGTCACTATCAGATGGCCACGTGAAACCCCGGCGTTAGAAAACACGGTCCTGTGGTTTATTTGAAAGGAAGGGGGAGAGTAATGCCAGGGAAGGGGTGCAGCCAGCCAATCCATACCTGGGACAGCTGCCAAATTTGCCCAGGGACATCACCGAGGCCATTGACTGTTCCTGCAGGTACAGGTGGGAATAGACACGTGGCTCCTGTCCCTGCTACTGGCTTGAAGCGAAGCCCTCTTGCAGAGATTGCTTGTGTGAAAACCAATGTACGCGGCATTCTTACTATGGGGTGAATCTCTTCTCTTCCCTGGGAGACGCAGTTAGGGCTACAACAATGTCACAGGACCCCAAACAGCTTAAAGAGGTCCCATCACAAGGTGCCTGGGGTGTCCTCAGTCTGTCTGGGGGTGCTCCAGGGTGCCAAGGAGAAACTTTGCATTTCCAGACTAGCGCTCATTTTTCAGGTTCAGAGTTCAACACCTTCTGTTAGTACTACTGCTTCCTCTCCAAATGAGCCATTACGGTACTCTGGCTTTTGTTTCCCCCGCGTTTCTCTGTGAGAAAACATCTGAATCAGGACAAAGTATGAAAATGTACCTGTTTCCTCCTTCCTGATGGAAACCGTATACTCATGAAATGTCAAACTCTGTATATAACACTTGACAAGAATGCTTTGTAATGTTTTATCACCACTGGTTCAAATTTTTATATTGGGATCCCATTTTCTAGCTTTCTTTTTGTAAGTGTTATCTCTTTGTTCTGACATACAACTTTTAAGGAGCCTTTTTAAAATAATTAAAAAAATAGTTGAAAAAAAAAGTTTATACAAAAAAAACCCCACGACACCTTCAAGTAGCTTGTCAAATGGGCTGCATTAGGACCAAAGATGTAACGTCTTGTTTTCTTGCTTTAAAGGAATAGGGTATTAATCACCACTTCCACAGCCTCTCATTACAGGGAAAAGCTACAGATCTCCACTCTTCATTGGGGCTGGGCCAGACCTCCACTGAGCCAAGAGGACTTGACGGGAGGGTGAGGCCTGTCCATAGAAAACCAAACCAAATATCAGGACCAGGTATCACTTAAGGGCCAGACCTACAATCTCTACTCCATTTAGATTCATTTTCTACTCAACGCAATAGCTAAACAGGGACACAGTCAAGAAAAAAAAGAAACAAATACATGATGTTTTGGCTCAGTGTCAGGAAAAAATATAACAATGTGAAGATGAGACATGATGGGATAACTGTTTTTTTATGTGAAGAAGTGTGTAGGCAGGCAGTGAGACTTTAAACCGATAACACTTTTGGTTATGTATTACTTTAATTATGCAGGGGACTTGAAATCACAGTGCTTCCATGATAGGCTTTCCTTTCTGCCACACGTCCTGCCTCCGTTCAACATCGTGTGTTTTGGCAGATGACCTCTATTACCATGGCCACGTAGACTGAGAATTGTAGGTTTGTCGGAGGTACTGCATGCAACCCCTCCTTCTTACACAGGGAGAGAAGAGTGTGGCAATAGTAGGCTGTACCACAGTTAGTGGTCAAGCAAACCCTCAGTAGCATCCAAAAAAAGGGTTTCCCGAGGAAAAATTCATAACTGGAGACCTAGCTGGCAAAAGACATGCCACTTGTTGCAGCGCTTGAAGTCAGCAAGCAAAATGCCTTCAGCCAAGATTCAGGGCTGGTGCTCCACCAACTTTGCTCTCATCCTCTTAGGTGGTGCAGATGGGGCTGTCTGGATGCACGACAGTGCAGGCCTTGTGGTCTCTCTGTACCTCTCACCTTGAAGTAATGAATTTTTCTGAGTAATAAGTGAAAACCAGAAATCAAACCCACTGCATACCACTGGACTGGTTGAAGGTGTTGTTGCTGTATAGCTGATACAGTACATAATTTCCAGTTGCGCTGGAATTTATTCAGACCCTTCTCCTTACCTCTCGCAAGCTAGCTGGAGAGTGTGCATTTGCAACCACCATCAATGTTATCCTCATATTTTATGAAAGGGAATAAGTAAAGTAGTTGTCTACAATGGTAGGAGGCTTGGCTCACATACCTAGGTTGCTTTTTTAATCCTATGTTCCTAATATCGTTCCCCTAGAAATTAATGGGATGTTTAACTTTATTACACTGAGAGTATAAAACAAGGCTAATGTTGAGTGATTGTTTAAAATCCCTCGCAATAATCAGAGATCCTATGGATCCATTGCCCGTTTCAGGCTGCTTTGTATTGATGCAATCAACCAAGTATAAGGTATAATGTCCTGGTTTTAATAAACTGTCAAGCAATATATCCATAGATACAGACGGTACCCTCGCAGCATTGTAAAGTTACTGAACTATGGAAGAACTATTTGTACAATAAGAAACTTTTGACTTTTATATGGTTTAATGGTTTATACTGTTGATCAAAGATTGTTTGTATATTGAGCGATAAAAATGAGGTGTATATTATTCTTTTTAATTGTTTTTAATTTTTTGAGAACTTTTGTTGTAATATACTGTTGTATTTGGGGGAAAGAAAAAATCAGTGGCTAGCTTGTAGGGTTTGTAGCCAGAGAAGAACTCACATTGAGGGTTCTTTATTGATGGACCTAGATTTTTTTTCTGGTAAAAGTTGTCACCTTGGGGATTTATCCAGAGCTTAGTGAAGCTAATAGCAGGACCCTTTCTTCTCTCCAAGAGTCTTTGGCTCTCTGCATGCACCGTGCTGGAGTTTCATAATGTGAGCAATAACACAGCTAACACTTGTGACCATTGGAAGTGCAATATGAAAGCCCAGGTGCTGCTTATCAGGGCGCTAATAAAAGCTGCTCTTTGGAATTGCATGGCAGGTTCTCACTTCACTTTTACGATAATAGCAGAAGCAGAGTCAAAGCAATCCCTCAAAAGCTCATCCATGTGACATGTGGCATATGAAGCCATACTGCTAGCCATTTCCACATTGCATAGCTATGAGCTGTGCAACAGCAACGCAGGACTTCCTCGTAAGGAAAGGCAAAATAAAGTCTCGACCAGCGTCACGCTGGTGACAAATTGTTGTACTACGCTAGGCAGAAAGAGGAATTCTGTTAGCAAAGCCAGTCAAATGAAGCCCCAGCGTCCCCTGAGTATTGGTGTTTAATTATCCAACTGGTGGAACATGTAGCAGACAAAGATTAAAGGAATTACAGGGTCCTCAACATAACAGAGCAAAATACACTGGGTTGACAAGACAGTAAAGAAGAGAGGAGCTGGAACTGTCAGTACACATTCAGCCTGGATAAGTCCCTGGTATCACGATTAGTAAATTAAACCATTTTTGTCTTTATAGATGAACTTTGTATACAGAAAAAAAAGCCACTACAGCACCTTTCTCATTTTCATCTTTCCATCCAGTCCCTTCCAACACGTAGGCTGCATGTTTTACCAGCTCAACCTATTTTATGCAGAAATGACATAGTCTTAATCTTCATATTACTGGTTCTCAGAAATGCCTGATGCGTATTAATGCATGATATTTTTATTTCAATAAAAGTAATTAAATAAATCTTTGCTCTTTTGGCACATGATTTTTCCCCCTCTCTTTAGTGATCAGCTGGCTTGGGAAGATTCTATATAAGTTAGTTTTGATATTATGAACAATAGTAGTTAGTATTAATATTGAGGAGGAAACTGAAATATATGGTGTACATCCATACACCTCCTCTGTGATGATCAGAAAACAACTTAGAGATTCAAAAGTCTTTATCAGATGGGAAACTGCTGTTCTCCGTATTTCATAGATAGATAGGATAACAGAGACGGAGCAATGCCTCTGTACTTACCCCAGAGAGGTGGGGCCACTGATGGAGCTAAACCCCACTGCCAAAGCACTGAAAGAGAGGAACGTAAAATGAAGAATGGTGTAGGTATAGAAAGTGCAGGTATTTGGGAAGGACGAGCATTCAGAAATTCCAGTGAGCTCAGTGCGACAAACTTCAAATAAATATAAAAAGTGACAAAGGGTGCAAGAGGAGAAGACAGCCAAAGAAACAGGGCTGCAGTTTAACCCACCTGACTGCCTGCACAGGATACGGTAGGCAGAAAAGAAATAAAGAAATAAAGAAAATTGCTATTTAAAAATAGGAGAGGAATACAAGTATCTTCCACATGCTCTGTCATTATCGGCAGCAGCGCTAATCGAGCCTCACCCTTTG